TTTTTGGTAGCTTAATTATTCATTCGGGAGCTATAGAAAAATGAGAAGATCAAAAATTGAATCATGTCCATAATTTTCTTTTTAACGAAACTGCAATTTTTTTTTTTTTTCATATGTATAAGAAAAATAACTTATTGGAAACTAGAAAATCCAAACAACACAAATCATGATAAGTATTAAAGGTTAAAGTAGGAAGAAAATGAGCCATCGTATTCTCATTATGAGAAGTGTAGCAAACAATGCCACTTTGTGCTTGACAAAATAATCTCCTGAATGTCTTCACTAACGTTTTCACTCCAGGTCCAGGACCCGACTCGAAGGACAACTGTAATTTCATTGAATCAACAAAACAGAAATTAAGTACAAATCAGAGGTAGCAATAAATTTAGAGGACGTCCCCGTTCACGATTCGAGTTTAGAATTCGAGTTTTACTACAGTAAAAAGTTCTCAAAAATAGTCACATCTAACTTTTTTGCTACAGTAAAAAACTCTCATATAAAATCACATCTTAACTCGAATAAGCGAAGTGAACAGGCTCTGTTTTACGTGTATTTTTTGTTAGAGAAAACCATGAATCGTAATTCAGAATCATTGACGAATATAAGAAACAAACGTCTCCTTAAGGATGCGCTTGAATTTTATCTCAGACGACCACATCTCCACGGACATGACTTACAACGGTCCATTCTCTTAATTGTAAAGTGAATCGGAGATAAATACTCTTTTAAAGTGTGTGAATCTAAATTTTTACCTCTTATTATTGATTGATATTCTTTTAATCAAATAATTTTATTAATCAAAAAATATTAATTAAAAATAAAAAATAAAACTCAAACCGCATGCACTCTTAAAAGTAAATTAATAATTCTCTCTAACACAAAAGCAAACAAAGAGAGATAGGCAAACAACTAATAAAGTTATTGGGCCTAACTATGAGTAGCTTCTGCTAAATCCATAATGGTATTACCGCTAAAAAAAACCTTGTATTTTGTACGCAAAATTAAAAAAAAATAAAAAATTTATTTTTAAAAGTGTATGAATTTAAATATTTATTTTTTATTCTTAATAAATATTTTTTTATTAGTGTAATTATTTAACTAAAAATGTTATAAATTAAGAATAAAAAATAAAAATCTTGACTCATACACTTTTAAAAATATTTGTTAAGATTACCCATATTTTCTTAAAGAAAACGAACACAAGTTTTTTTTTTTTCACTCTCTTCTTCCTTTACATATCTAACTACGTACGGGCGGATTTCTAAATGAACAGGTAAAATTAAAAGGAAGCATATTTCCTAATTCTCTCATAATTTGGTCAATAACTTTACAATGTCACTAATCTAGCTAGCAGTTCAAAACCAAATTAACTTAATATTTCCCCTTTAGTTAATTTATACATACAAAAAAAAAAAAAAAACAGTCCGAAACAAAATTCAAATATAGTCCGAATGCAGCGACAGACATACATGACCTTTAACGGGAGCATGTACCCCAACTCGCATAGATAAATTTTAAAAAATTAGCTACACATTTTAGAATTTTCACAATCTCTTAAGTGTGCCCACTATTTTTCTTTTCTAAAATTTAAATGTAGTCACCATTTTTTTCAGAATTTTCTAATGTTAACCCCTAATTGTCCCACTAAAATTTTATTATTATTTTAAATTGTTATGTTTCCACGTATTAATTTTCATGTTTTTCCTCTTCCTCAAAAAAAATTTTTTTTTTTTTGTAAATTTCATGTTTTTTTATGTATTTACATTTCTTTAAGTACTTATTGTTTATTCTTTGAGTTAAAGATAAAAATGAAAAAAAAAATTGAAAACAACAAGGTTGAAAAATTAAATGGATATATATAATTCATCTTTATTTCTATGTGTATGGTTAATATTTAAACAAATTTATCAAAAAAAAAGTTGTATATATCATAACTAGTATATGGACTATAATTTGTAGAGGGTATTATGAATAATGATTAGAGTATCGAAAACAATTATTAGTCGATGATATCAGAGGTTTTATTTTTATTGTTATATTATTTAATTTTTAAAAATTCTTAAGTATCATTACTTAAATAAATTTCTACACGTATTCCTTTCTAGCCCTAAACTTCTTTCTCCCCTTTATTCTCACAAAAAAATAAAAAATGAAGGGCGTGTTCACTTCACTAACTCAAATTTATTGATTTGAGTTGCAAAAAAGTTTGAGTTTAATTTGAACTTTGAGTTAAGTGTTTAGGAGGAGATTGATTTGACATTTAAAATTTGAGTTTTGTGTTCACTTGTACTAAAACTAAACTCCAATTACAAAGAAGTGTCTTTTTCTACAGAGGCAATCCGCACTGTAAAACTAAACTTGAGTAATGAGAAAACAAGGAGTGAGTGAAACTCACTGACTCAAGTTTGAAATTCGAGTTGCGTTTAATGAACGCATAACTTGACCTAATTTCACATTCAAATTAGACTTATTTAAGTGTGATTTACGAAGTGAACGGCCCAAAAACCTTCAAGTACGAGACACTGGGTCAACACCTTTTCTGACTCTTTTGCCACTCTTCTCCTAAACCCATTTTCGCCGTCGCTCAGCTGCTGAACAAAGCCAAATAATGTAGATTAATCAAAACCAATCAAAGTGCCGTCGCTCAGCTGCTGAACAAAGCCAAATAATGTAGATTAATCAAAACCAATCAAAGTTGATTAGGAGCATCGTTGTTAATTTGAGCTGGGCCAGACGGATTGGTCCGACCCACTTATAAAGATCTCCGGCGGGTCATGATGGATCAAAGATGTAGACCCAAACACATCTATTAGCTTCCGACATTAGGATTTTAAAAGTGAAAATGAGACAAATGTTTTTTAAAGTGTATGAGTTTAAATTTTTATTATTTATATTTAATTAATATCATTTTTAGTTAATGACTATATTAATTAAAAATTTATTAATTAAATATAAAAATTAAAAATCTAGACTCACGTGAGTCATGAGAATAAATTTAATAATTTTCTCTTTTCTCAAAACTATTTTATTGTTAAAAAATGGCCGAGCTTGGCCTATGTAGGCTTCAGGGGTGGACTAGGCCGGTCATATGCTCACAAAGACTTGTACGGCCCAAACCATAAAAGAAGCGGGTCGGGCTGAATTTACAGCTCTAATTATGGGCATCCAGTTACACCTCCTACTGGTCACGTGGTAGTTCAACTTCCAAAAAAATGTCACTTTGCATAATTTGTATATAATATCTCATATATGCATTATCAGTCATATATGCATTATCTCACTTTGCATAAAACAATTGTAATAACTCATATATGCATTATCAGTCGTCATATAATATGAGACTAATCTAACTTACAAAGTAATAAGCAATATTTGATATTATATAGTCTTGCTCTTACAAAGAAATGATTATTGTTGCCGCATCATTGAGCATCAAAAGGACATAATAATTTAGGCATTATTTAATTCATTGATTTGAGTTTTTAATTTGAACTGATATGTAATTTTATGTGAGAGTTTTTTACTCTAGTAGAAAAAGTTAGATGTCACTTTTTGTGAGAGCTTTTAACTGTAACAAAATTGAAATTAAAAACTCAAATCGGTGAAATGAATAAGGCATTAATTTGCTTCAAAAGTCTAAAGCTTTTAGTCTTCTACTTACATAACAAAGTTTACATATTTTCGTTTAAAAAAACAGAAAACCATTTTTGACCCACGTGATCCCCATTTTCTATGTGGCTTAACCAAACTCTTACTTAATTGCAACAACATCATCAATTATATAGACAAGATTCTTAGTAAGTATCCACAAATATCAAAATCTTGCATCTTTGTGCGTTGACAATGGACCACATTAGTTGTTTTATTATCCAAAACGAAGAGAAGACGAAGAAGAATAAGAAAAAAGGCCTTCGTCAATTAGCTTTTTTTCCTTTACGCGCTATAAGAGTTGAAAGAAAGAAAGTATTAGTGCCGGAATTGACTTTTGACTTTTCAACGAAGCGTTTGAGTGTTGTCTCTTTAATTAGTTGTTTTTAGCTATAAAAATAATTACATAAAATAGACTTGATGTGTTAAGAACGCTGGGTTAACCGTGTACTTATACAAGTAGCTTTCGATTGAACTTTCTTCGAAGGTCGTCTTCTTGTCGCCATTTTAATTTGTTTGTTTTTGCTCGTGGATACAGCGTACTACCATTGATGATATTGAGCACCACCTCATTAATAAAAAATATATTTTACAATAAAGAACTTACAAATAAGGTTTAGGTTATATTAATAAAGAGAAATGTTAAAATCACTTTTTTTTGTTACTTTTTATATTTATTGTTTGACACGTAAATTATATTAACATGATATATTATTATTTAAATATAAAATGAAAGATAATAAAGTGTACATGTCGAACAGTAAATACAGCGACCGACAGAAAGAGTGAAATTAACATTTCTTATTAATAGATGGCGCTCTAAGTATTTTTCTAACATTTGTCTTTGAGGGTGGGACCATTAGTAGAAATTATATTATTAGGAAAGTGATAATAGATTAATGTGATTTCTAAAAAAATTTATACTATTTGGTTGCATATATAAATCTTATATATATATATGTACATATACATAGATCTATATTAAATTGGATACTTATAAGAACTGGATTTTTTTTCATATATAATTAAAGAAAAGAAAAATTGTAGAAACATAATAACTTTAATAAATTTTACTGAAAATCTAGCAACTCTCCATGCATTAATCATTTAATATATGTGGTACAAAAAAAAGGTCCCCTACATGCTGTAAACTGCTTATTAAACTACATGAAGGCCAAATTATTAAATACTGCATGAAAGCGCGTAATTTAATATTTCTAGCTAGTGAGAAGTACCACGATTTATAGACTTCAATTTATTATGCATTTATAATACAACCAAAACTCCACCTATATGATAGTACTTCATGAATTGAATGCCCGGCCCCCCAAATCGCCATCACAATTAACAAATGTCTAATGGCGTGGCCATATCAAATATATGCCAAAGTAGGAATTCACTTATATCCGTTCCCATGGAATAGCAACCACTCGTTTGATTTGGTGCGAATCTTCTTCCATGTTTGCGCTACTTGAAGCAAAACCATGCTCTATACATACTTACATACATATATATATATATATATAGATATATATTAGGCTTATCAGTAAACCAAGTCCTGAAGTCTTTCCCATACCCTTGAGGTCTCTACTCCAACTCTTGAAAGTTTCACCTGTAAAGTTCAAAGTGAAAATAAAACATTTTTTAGCACTATTCTTAACTTAACTATCAATATCAAATAGAATCTTACTTGATTTTGATTACTGATTAACATGATAAGTACTATCATACTCCATAATAAAACTATGGCTCAACTTCTCGTAGCTTAAACTTTTGGGAGAATAGGTAAACATTTACTTGCTTAAAGTGGTTTTTTTTTTTCTTTTTTGGGCTAAAACTAATATATATATATATATATATATATTGTTGTATTCACCTGAGCATGGAGTGTGTAGAAAACTTTGTCATCCACAGTAGAAAAGCTAGCACTAACAACTTCAGCTCCTTCTTCCTCAAGAACACTAATCACTTCATACAGCATGAAGCTCTTCTGCAGACCGCTTATCAAAATCACTTCTATGCTGCAACCCAAGTCCTTTAACTCGATCACCGGCAACCTTGCTCCGATCCTCATCCTCTGATGATCATCGAGAACTTCGCTGCCGCTCATATCAGTACTTCCGTTTAAAGACTTCGTTGCTTGTTCCTTCTTAGCCTTTAGCTTCTCTATTCTTTCTCTCAATTGGCTTATGTATGACGCCGCGAGATCAATCTGATCTTGTTGTGTCAACATTTCCTGATTAATAAGAGAGCAACGGTTAGTAATTGAGCAATATTAGTGCAATTATGGTTGATGTTTTTTCCTTTTATTGTCTAAGAAAAAGAGGTTGTAGCTTTTCGGATACGGCCAATTGTAAATTATACTTCTATCAAATTATGTCAAATTTAACGTTCAGAAATACAAATAACTAGCGTACTCTGGTTATATAGCGGGAAAAACCCGTAAATTACTTTTGAAAGATAAGGAAGTGAAACTATTTTTCGCATTATATATGAACGTTTAACAATTAAACAATAATTAGTACTATAATTTCCAAAGTGAAGTTGTGTAATCAAATTAAGAGATTAATTAGTTATATTAGTACCTTAGAGTAGTGCTTAGAGTGGTGGTGAGGAACGAGGGAAGCAAGCTTAAAGCAGAGATCTTTCATGTGGATTCTCCGGTTCCTCTCGATGGTCTTCCGGTCAAGTTTCGCGGTCTCGCTCGGACTCTTCTTCATGATCTTCACCATCAACGACCCAACTCAGACACCTTCAATTAACCTAATTAATTACTATAATTATGATCAACCCTTAATTAGTTTGATCAAATCAATTAAACTTCCCTTCACAAGTATACCCTAATATCCATATTCTTGTTATGTCTTATCACCTCCCACCAGTTCTCAACCACACTAATTAACAAAGCTGATCAATTCTCAGTTGTGTCTGAGCGGCAACAGAAACCAACAAGTTCTAGAGAGAGAGAGAGTCATAGAGAGAGAAGATTATATGGTGGAAGTTTAGAGTAAGAGTGCAGACACGGTTTATATAGAGACGGGTTGGCGTTACAAGTACAATACATATATATATATATAAAGAGCGAGTAATATGGAACTAATATATAAGTGGACAACGTTGTTTGTTTTTATGTACTTGGGTCCCACACAAAAGGCCAAAATTTTGCCTTTTTTTTTTTTGGTGGGACCCAAAACTTTTCTTCTCTCTTATAGTAGTGAGACTAGTACGTTCAGGTTCGTACTGGGTTAAATATAAGGTCAAGTCTTTGCTGCTACTTTGACGTACTTAAAAAAAAAAAAAAAAAATCGCTGGTAGATTATCATGACTCTTAAGAACGTTTTTGTTCTACTATGTATGAGAAAGAAATCCGCGCTTTCACCGACCACCTAATAACTTGACACCTATTTGTGTATGTTTTAGTTATGCGTTTTAAGAAAATTTTGGTAAACAATTTGCTGCAGTTTGTTTTTGTCCAAGACAAAAAAAATAAAAAAAAATAAAAATGTGTTTTATTTATGTCAGAATATAGTGGTAGAGCCAACCATCGAATTTCAATTAATATTTTTTTTATTAACAAATTTTTACTGACAACATATACAATTATTAAAAAAAAAATTTGTATAAAATAAATATTTTATTGTGTAATATTTCATCATGATCTATGGATATTTTCAAAAATAAAACAAAACTACCAAAATTCAAACTCTGAATCCTATGTTCACACAACATGCACCGACGCTACAATCATTTAAGCTAGCCTGAAGTGATAAGGTTGCGTTAAGGATATGGTTAAGGGACAAGAATCACATGGTCGTGGTTATCTATGCACGTCTCGTCTCCGTTGGTATATTCATTCCTTCATACAAAAGAATTCATTTTAGATAAAATCCTTTTCGTTTTCAAGAATTTCTCGCATGATGAATTTCGTCAGCACAACCAGCTGGGGAAAAAAAAAAAGGACTGTCCCACGGGAAAGATTTTTCTCTTGGTAAGTCGCCTTTCGTATCGTGTGAACGCACATCATGATCATCTAGAACACTACTACAACTGTTGCTTCAACTTGCTGACCTTGTCACGAAGGTAATACTCCGTACGTAAAGGTCTTTGATCTTTTAACGAGCGTTTGGTTCATAAATTCAAATCATATGATTAAAATTATTTTTGATTTACGTGTATTTTTTATAAGAGAAGATATTATAACGAACCACGAATCATGATTCAAGTCAGAGAACGAATCTAGGTACCAAACGGACTAGTCTTTTCCCATTGAGCACTCTTATTCATCTGTATAAAATTAAAACTCTGCTACTCATATGAGGTGGATCTCATTAAATAAATAAGTAGGACCCAATCTCATGAGACATACTATTTTATGAGTAATGAAGTTTTAATAGGGATGTAAACCATTTTTCTCCGTTTGCTATTTCGACACTTAAAAAAATAATGTGTGTATATATATGTGTGTGTATTATAACGAGAATCTCGTTAATTAAAACCATCTCTAATGAAAATATTAATATCAATAGTATATTTAACAATAAAAAATGTAATATGATAGGTTATTTTCATTTTTCCTCTAATACATTATGCTATTTGAAATGCTAAATATTCTTTTTTTCATGATCGTTAAGGTTTGAAAGTTATAAAAGTAAACTTCTATTTTCAAAATAATTAGAAAATGCAAAAGGTAAAATAATTACATAAAAAAGTAAACATTTTAACCAATAGCAATCAAATGTTAAATTTCTCGTACCTTCCTTTTTTTCTTTTTTTTTTGGGTGAAAAACGTACGTGTATTTTACAAAATCTGAAAAGTTCTAAAATTTTAAAAGGTGAAGCCCCGTTCTTTTCACTTATTCGAGTTTTGCTACAGTAAAAAGCTCTCAGAAACAGTCACATCTAACTTTTTTGCTACAGTAAAAAATTCTCACATAACATCACATCTCAACTCAAATTAAAAACTTGAATTAACAAACCGAACGGATCTGAAAGTGATAATTATCGCTTTCTGACTTTGCGGGTTATATAAGTATAATGGAAACACAACTTGTTTGAAATGAAAAAATAAAAAATAAAAATTCTGTTATACGGTCTTAAAAATGCTAATTTGTAGTTTGCAGTTATACTTTATTAGATTTTTCTTCAAACTATCTTAGATTGACATTTTTTTTATTATAACATATGACACGTTTTGATAATTAAAAAGAAAAAAAAAACTTGAAGCCAAATTTGGGGTAATCGTTGCATAGATTTTTTGGCCTCGTTCATTTCACTGATTCGAGTTTAAAATTTAAATTTTACTACAGTAAAAAATTTTAATAAATAATCACATCTAACTTGGTTCAAAGATAACATTTGAAAATTTAATTTTATGTTCTCACTGTAGTAGAAGTCTCTAGCTTCGCTAGCCGGCGTTGAAGGACAGCTTTTTAAATTCGCACGTACCCTCCATCCGAACAGTGGCAAAGCTATTATACGACTACCGGGAAGGTTTCCCCCATTGACTTTTTTTTTTGGTTTTTAGTTTTTAACTTCAAAATTTCAACTTCTCCTATTTTGCCCCCACTTAAATAAATTATTTCATATTAGCCCCCTCTAAAATGAAGATGTGACGTGGTATTTAAAAAATAAAAAATAAAAACTCATTGTTTCCAATTTATATGTTTTGTGACCCTTTTTAATATTGTGTGTGTGTGTTGGGTAGTTTTTGAAACGTCTGTCACGCTTCTTTTTATTTGAGTTTATTCTATATTCCGCTATTGTAATAGAGGTTAAACCATTTTTTTCCTTATAACAAAAAGTAGCAAAAAGTTTCCCTCGTTCGTCGAAAGAAAACTACTGTACGGAACGTCGAAAGTGATTCACCCGTACATACCACTAAAGAAACTTGTTCTACCTTTACACCAAACTATTAGTTCTTAAACACTGAGTTTTTAATTTAAGTTGAGATGTTATATTTTTTTAGAGTTTTTTATTGTAATAAAAAAATTAGATGTGACATTTTTTAAAAAAATTTTACTTTAAAAACTTAAAATTAAAAACTCGAATCGGTGAAATGAACGAGACCTGATTTAATCCCTACATAATTTTTAATATGTCAATCCCTAAACTTTTCAAATGTTGATATTTTGATTTCTAACATAAAGGCCTCGTTCACTTTGCGGATTCGAATTTTCAATTCAAGCTGAGATGTGACATTTTCTAAGAGCTTTTTACTGTAGCAGAAAAAGTTAAATGTGACATTTTCTGAGAGCTTTTTACTGTAGAAACTTAAAACTGAAAACTCGAATCGGTGAAGTGAACGAGGCCTAAAATTGACAAACAGGTTTATAAAATTTAACGTAGATATTAATCACATTCTTATTGTATAATAATTAAAAATTTTAATAAATAACTAGGGTAAGTACAACATGTTATAGCCTTCTACACGTTTTAATAGTAATAAAGGGAAAATTTTACATACAACATAACCTATTTTTATAAAATTTTAAAAATATCACGCGATAAGTAAATAATTATCTTTGTTAAATTTTAAAATTCGTTTGTTAATTTTAGTACAAGGGGCTAAAGTCGTCAAAAGATGAAAGTTTGAGATCTGATATATTAAATGTACAAATTTAGAGATCACTAATAATGATAATTACCAAAAAAAAAAAAAGAATAATAATAAAGTCAGGGAAGAATTCTAAGGAGAAGGATGTCATGACTCGTCGTGGCTTAAAATATATTTTGTCGTTTCCCCGCGTGGCAAACCCTTCTTCCATGAAGATTCTCAGGACCAAAGCGACTCTCTGATGTTACGTTCGAGGCTAGTACATCTGTAAATGAATATATTATACGTGTATATCGTCAACTAACGAAGTGATGTCAGTTATGACGTAATCATTAAAAACACGTGCGGTTTGGTCAATATTATTTCAATTCAGAGAGCCAAAAAATATTTCCTCAATAATATTTTTGCGATAACATGGGAAACGAAGAGGAACACGTAAAGACGACTTTGACCAGTCAACTTATCAAATTTTGTTTGTTATCGTTCGTCCATGGTCGATGGGTAATGTAATGGGTACCAACATCGTACAGCTAGCTGGCTGTCTTAAATTCACAAAGCACACCTAAACAAATCTTCCCAAAGTTGGGAATTTTCTAAACAAAAGCTTAGATTTTTTTTTTTTTTTAAAGAAATTCGTATGTTTTAATATGTTTTTAAAATCATTAATTCAAACTTCATTAAGTATTAAAAAAAAATCCTGTAAAAGGAACTTGTTAATATTATCAGAATATTGGGATACTTCCGCAATGATCAAGAAAATATAAGGTATTAAATGATAATTTGCCTTTTTGTTATTTTGTCTCATCTAGTTTTATTTTACCTCATTAAGCATTGTTTCTTTGATGCATTTTGTTTATAATAATCTTTTTTTTTTTTTGAAAGGTAATAATCATAAATTTAGGTCAACCTCAGGTTTTTTTTTTTTTAATTCAATTTGCTCCAAACTTTCATAGGCCAAAGACAACTAAAATAGATGACAATATTGATCATGTGATACAAATTTCATACATGAATCATTTCTAAAAATGTGTTTAGTAGTCTTATTCAGATATTGTTTTCAGTATAAGAAAAAACTGAAACTGCATTTAGATTTACATTTTAAAAACATGTAATAGTAATTAAAATAATATATTAAACAATTAATAAACTCCCCAATCAATACAGTAATAATTAATATAATATATACATATCTCCTATATGTAAATATTTTATACTTACTACTTATCAGTTATTTTGGCATACGTAAATAGTAATAAATTAGGATATTAATTACCATACACATATATTATTAGTTAATTTATATATAAGAACATAGTAATTAACATTAGCAATAAAATACTTCTCCTAAGTATGTCAACTACAAATCAGTTTTTTTTTTAAATTACATTACAAATAAATAGTAAATAATTTAAAATAAGATTACTTAGTGAATGATTAGTAAAAAAAAAGTTTACTTAATGAATAATCTTAGACTATATACTG